AAAAGTTAGTTTAAAGTTTTATTAAAAGGGTAACGCCAAACGATCAAAGTCAGGTTTTAGGGACTACTACTGCATATGTTGTATTAAGCCTTTTGTGGCTCCAGAGGGAGCAGTGTGAAATCTGTGAAGAATACAATGCCAATTGGTGGAGTACAGTTGTAAGTATAAGTACAGCATTAAAGTATTTGCACCAAAATATACTTAAAGTACTGAGGAGGAAAATTTTACAGTTACTAACTAACCAAATGAGAGGTGGCAGCCGGCTCGCACCCCCCCCCCTCACTGGTTGTGTCCCTCTCATACTCAAATGTTTATTCATATTGTCACCTGTCCCCTTGATCAAACCCCCACACCTACATTTCCTGCCCTTTGTCTCCATCACATTTCTGATCACTACCTTTTGTATTATTTCCCTCTGACTCTGATGTTAATCATGTAACGTCTGCTGACTGCCTGATTAATGGCTACCATTTACATACTGTCTATTGTATTGTCCAGTGCTCTGACCAAAGGTAGCAGTACGACCAATTTATTCCAGCACCTCAAGCAGAGGCATGCAGCCGAGTGGGAGAATGTTGCACCCCCACCTCTCCGCGAGATAATACAGGACCCCAGCCCACAAACCCCCCGCTAAAAAACAGTCCTACCAAAAAATCTATTAAAATCGTAAATCGGGTTTGGTTTAATTTTATCATGCCCAGCCTAGTCTGCCATCTTACTTGCACGCACTAGGAGAGGAGGCTCTGAAGAAAAGCTAATACTTCGCTTAGTTTACTGAAAAAATCCGTATTCGCCGTCCAGACGACTCTCGTGCACTCGGCGTGTTTAGGATTTTCCCACTTTCGGGACCCGTTTTCTAACCCGAAAACGGCCGCATCCGTCGGACGCAAGGCACCGATACGATAAAGTAAGTTTTATCACCAGCATATCGACACAAAAAAAAACAATAAATTATCGGATCGAGTAGGAAGGCCCTTAAAGCCTTCACCACATACTACACCTATTTTCTCTCCTTGCTCTGCTCTGTGTAGGTGAGATACTCAGAAACTATTTAATATATTCTCTTTTCCATTGCCTTAGCTGCTGGCCTCACATTTACCATACATTAGAAGTTGTCTTTGGAAAGACATTGGACAGTTGGAAAGGAAAAAACATACACACAAAAAGTAGTCGATCTTAAGACACATTAAATCACAAATACAAAAAACAGTAAATCTCGTTGATTTTAATCCAGTGTTTGTTTTGGTGCTTCCGGAAACCTGATACCATTTTACTTGACCTTAACTTAAGCTTTGCATTGTTCCTTTGCTCTTAAGTTTTCGTTTTTGCATTTTAAAAGGTTTGACTCGCGTTGTGTTTTTTTTTTTAAATTTTATTTTGCTGTACACAATAACTAGGTTTTAAGAGCTAATATATATTATATGTTACTAATCTCCTAACTTTTTATTAAAACAAAAACAGAGGTAAAGTTAAACATTAACACTAAATTATGCGAACTCTGGTTATCAGTTTTAACACGAAGATATAAATTGATACTTAGATCAAACTTCTTTATAAATTACCATAACTTCCGCCTTAAGTTATAAATGTTCTCTATTCAACATTTTATTAATTCCTGATCATTTGGTGCAACAAATTATTATGCTATTCAGGAACCATAGTTCTCGCTTACATGTACCATATATATACAGGGTCGGACTAAAACCACTAATACTGGTATCTCTCCAATAACATTCCTAAATTCAGATGATAGCTCTCAAAGTTAAATCCCCTTTAAACAAAATAAAACAAAAAAGAACAGCATACTATCTCTGCTTTGTCTTACACCCAACCTACCTACACTGGCAGTGATATACACACCACACTGCCGACATTCAAAAAATGGAAACAAGAAGTGATTCCCCAACCAACTGCGGACCAGTCAACACTATATCAGACCACTTTGGACTCGAGCTTATACCTAGCCTGGTCTTTCCACAGGAATCAACTATCTGCGTCTTTCAGTTATATCCACTTCAATGACCATATTCCACGTTGTAATTTATCTTCAATAAACAAAAGCCAAATACAAAACTATACGGGAGAGCAAGTTCAAATCTATGGCCAAGGCCGAAAGAAGAGATAAAACTACAATAAAATCTGCAGACATTACCATATAAGCAAATATTGCCAACATTTCAGAGAACCCAGGGGGATCTCATCTGCCACATAACCACAGCAAGCAACACTCACTTACTTGACCAATTGACGCGGGATGGCGCTCAACACTATTTATATTCCCGGCTATACTCCAGAACTTCAACAACCTTCCAGACACACCGCAACTGCAACTTAGGGTTTCAAAGGAAAACCACCCAATGATATACCTCTGAAAATCCTTCTGGCAATCTCTTAACTATTATATATATTCATATTCTTATATCTTGGTAGGAATTGATCTATCCGGTGTGGAAAGAAAAGATAAGATCCCTATATACGATAAAAAGACACCCCAATAATATATGTTTAAGGTGTACAGTCCTTTTATTATCCAAAAAAAATGACCTGATGTGTTTTTATTAGATTCTATATTTACACAAGATAAGATACGAGATCAAATCCAAACATTATAGGGCTCGATCTACTCAAAGTTGCTGACCAAGGCGAACTATATACTACAATTCCTCTTTTCTCAACATTGGAACAAGCCTACCAACCCTACCAACCCTCCCATTCCAGCATTCTCCACACTAACAACTTTCAACATCTGGAAGCCCATATAATGCATAAACTGACCAACTGTGTCGTCATTAATTCTCTAACTGACCAAAACCACCATGAAAAACTATAGATATGCACTTAAAAATAAAAAAAACACCAGATGGTGCTTGTATAAGCCACTTAATACTGTTAGTACAAATCAAACTCAATACAAGTACTATATAAAGCACAGAATATCTTGCCCGGACCATCATAACGAGGTAATTACAATCAGAACTAATATCACCAAAAAAAGAACACAAAAAATAACACATCCTTACCCAATAACTTAAACATTATCTTTTCCATTTATAAAAAAACCACATTACAACAAAATATACCATACATCAAAAACATTTAACTCATTATATGTGTTACTAATAAGAACAAATAACCAATTTATACATTAACCATAACTTTCTCTCTCTTTT